ATAAAAGCATGTTTGCTTTCCATGCAAAGGCATGAGAGCTCAAGTGCTGGAATTAAAGGCATGTGCGACCACTGCATGACTCTGTTTCCAGTGTGGCCTTGAACTCACAGAAATCCAGATGGATCTCTGCCTCCCAAGTGGTAGGATTAAGGTTGTGTGCCACCACTGTCTGGCCTCTATGTCTAATCTAGAAACTGGCTCTGTCCTCTGATCCTCAGATAAGTTTATTAGGATACACAATATATTGGAGTACACAATATATCACCACATGAATCACTGAATAAATCAGTTGGATACTTTCAACAATAAATGAAAATGAAATTTACAGATGATGGATGGAGCTAGACACAATTATCCTTAGTTTGATAGCATCGTTAGATACCACAGATTTATCCTTAACTTACACCCTGAATGCTGATTGACTTCGAGAAATAGGGAGTTTGTGTAGCACAGATACAGGTAATACATAGATCCCAGTAACACTCAAATTCACCAGAAGCAAAAAAAAGACTAGAGTATGACTTCACAAGATACCTGAATATCAAACAAACTGTTCAAAATAAATATGCAGATCTGGATGTAGATTTAAAAGCCACAACATAGATGAAAACTTTGAAATGAATTCTACACACACACACACACACACACACACACAAACATTAAGCCCATGAAAACCCACATGAAGCTACTGTACAATTCTTACAGCATATAGCAAAAGTTCTGTATGTCTTACAATTACAATAGTGATATCTACTCATCCATGTCAGTGCCGCTCTATTCACTACCCAAGACATGCAAACACCTATAGTGGGTAGCCATTCCAGCTTGAATCTGGAAGTTCTAACCCCCATTGAGACTCTGGCAACTGTCACGCCTCCAAGGCAGGGCCAGGGGAGGCGCCTGGAGACCTGAGAGCTGGATGGGCAGTGCTCTCTCAGTTCTGGGACCCTAAATGGTGGAGGTGGACCTAGCAGAGCTCCAGAGAACACCGCTGGACTGCAATGCATCTTCCCCAGACGCCACAACCTACCTATCCCTTAATTTGTAAGTTAGCCACTAAATAAATCTTCCTTTTAACTACATGGAGTGGTCTTAATAATTTCACCAATATCTGGTGCCCAACGTGGGGCAGAAACTCATGACCCTGAGATTATGTAAACTATTTTTATATTCCTGTTTAAGATAATTTGTATATTGATACAAATACAGAACTATATTTGTTATAATGTACATATATTTCTACTCTTATTTGAAATATTTTATATTGATACAAATGTAAATTTATATGTCATACATTATGTATGTTATACTTCTGTTTATGATATTCGGTATATTGATATATATTTAAGATTATTGTCATATTGCATATCGCACTATATATTCCTACCTCTGTTATAAATATCTTGTGTATTGTCACAATTTTGAAGCCATCGTTCTTCATCATACATTTGCTTATAGACTGTTTACCTTGTTTACATGTAATGTTTCGGTAGATAAGACTTACAGATTTATAGTCACCTATGCCTATCATCTCTATAGTTACGTTAGTTAGGTTATCCAGATTTACAGATACACAGGTCAGATGGACAGGTAATCTTCAAACACTTCATAGACCTAGAGAATATGGCATTTAAATAACTTAGAATTCTGTTGACGTGAGACACAATTGCTCCTGGCTGTAGCAATTTGATTCCGAGAGAATATTGGGCTTCTAAGACATTTCCATTTGGAAGTTTGTCTTCTTGGCACAAAATGGCCTACTGGGCAAAGTACTGCCCTTGCCATGATGGCTGACAGTACAAATGCAACGCTGTCCTTTCTGGACAAGCGGGACACGAGGAAAGTGACCACTGTACTCTACCAAGACAGGGTAAGATGGTCTTTCAGAATTCCTGCTTCTGAAAATGGTCTGTCAGATACTCTAGGCCTGTAGCCAATTTGAATGCACCAACAATGCTGAGAAACATTAGGTGACTGTCCAGACTTGCCTAGTTAGAAAAAATGGCAGGTTCAGGCTCCATATTCTTCATTGCTAGAAGTCCTTGCTAAGACTGCCCTCATAGATATCAGGATCTTTGCAGTGCACTTGATTTCCACATCATTGCCCAAATCAGGTTGGTGTGGATGGGACAGGGAGAGAGAGTATGGGGAGACATGACATGAATTAGGGCACAATGTAATCTTATCTAGCAGTTTAGAAAAATAAAATTTGCAGGTACATGAATGGAGCTAGAAACAATAGTTTTTAATGAGTTAGCCCTGACCCCAAAACACAAATATTCCATTTCTCTCATTTGTCAGTATTAGTTTTGAATCTTCAGATTTGTGTATCTTATTTGTGTTGTGTGCACTATTCCTAGGGATACTTGAATAGACATCTACTCACCAATGACAGACTAATGTAGGGATATAACCAAAGTCCAACTTGGTAAATGAGTGAATTTCACTGTGGCTACCCTATAGGAATCTGTATGAAGTGATGCTTACAGGAACAGAAATGAATCAAAGCACAAACTGCCATAACCAATCCTGGCATGTATGACATTTCACAAAAGCTGGAACAATGAAGCATACTATCCAACCTTCAAGCAGTTCAATGGGTTGCAGTGTATCCTCTTCAGAATTTGCACTTTGAGCTCTTCAAAAACCTTTGCTGGTCTGTGACTATTACATGTAGCCTGGCTCCTCTCTGCTTATTTCAAGTAGCTTGACTAATCTGTCTTCCATAGACAGTTTTGCTTTCCAGCTTATATACTCTTGTGGATAGAGGTACTTAGGGAATCTGGTCAATTTCATGGAAATTCTGAAGCTAATTGAGTTGTATATTTCCTGTAATAATATGTTTCCCTGTGAGACAGAAAGTTTACCTCCCCTTGACCATTCCTTTCTTTTACTTCCCTGTAAATATCCCATGTTTCATTGGGCTTCCTTGCAATATACAAGCTTTTAACCTTGGAAGAAACTGCTACAAGATAATTTGAAGTACTCACATTATGTCCAAAAATTAGTAATAGTCCATGGACAGCTGGGAGTGGTTTCTTTCAAGGGCGAGAAGTTAAAATGCAGATATATGATAGGTTAAGGAAATAATGGAATAAGAAATGTTGTATGAGCAAGAATTTTTGAAACCAAGGTTGGATAAAGCACAAGGACAAATAGCCAAATGAATGGAAACACATAAACTATGAACGAAAGGCTGAGGGGCCCCCAACTGGATCAGGCCCTCTGAATAGGTGAGACAGTTGATTGGCTTGATCTGTTTGGGAGGCATCTAGGAAGTAGTACCAGATCCTGGGCTCATTGCATGAGTTAGCTGTTTGAAACCTGGGACTTATGCAGGGACGCTTGGCTCAATGTGGGAGTAGGGGACTGGCCCTGCCTGGACTGTGTCTACCAGGTTGGTCTCAGTCCTCGGGGGAGGCCTTGACCTGGAGGAGGTGGGAATGGGGGGTGGGCTGGGGGGAAGGGGAGGGGGCAGGAGGGGGGAGAACAAGGGAATCTGTGGCTGATATGTAGAACTGAATGGTATTGTAAAATAAAATTAAATTAAATTTAAAAAAAATGTTAAACGATATGAGGGCTTATAGGGCAGGACAGAAAAAGAAATGCAGGTAGATAACTAACTCTAAAGGCTTTCAGAAAAAGTAATGTGAAAAATCTTAATATAGAAGTTTCCTAAAATATAAGCATATGCATATATTTTAAAAAGCTAAATGGAATCTTAATATAGAAGTTTCCTAAAATATAAACTTATGCATATATTTTAAAAAGCTCAATGGTGGGACAACCATATCCATATTAGACACCACAAGTTAACAAGTAAAAGACCTCTTGTTAGGAATGGGTTACTTCTATCAAAATTGTTGGCCAATGAGAGGCCTCATAGACTGTCAAACAATACAGGTTATTGCCATTGCTCTGAGTTACCATCTAGAAAATAATGATTAAACCGTATCACTGAAGACTGCTTTAGTGAGCCATAGTAAAATCTTCTGAGTATGTTGGTTTATTATTTACTAACCTAAGAATATTTTTGGTAATTTCTGGCAAATAGAATAATAAAATACAGGAAAAGAAAGTTCATGAATATTTACACCAAGCTTTATTTATCTCACTGTCTTCTTCTGGGTTTTCCAATATTCAGTTATTCTAGTCTTCAGTTTCTTTGTCTCTTTCAATCTTTGCTTCTTTTATCCTAGAGTTGTGGCTAGTGATGTTCCTGCTAATCTGTTTCTTTCCTTTTAGCCAAGCTGACTTTCTTACATTGACTTTTTTGGGTAACGACTTCATGATATCTCAAATTTTTCCTGGACTCAGTCCTTGTCTACCAACTTCACCAGTCCACAAACCCCAAAACTGGATTAATTTTATTTTATTTTCCACATATAAAGTATTTCTTTCAGTCTCCAAATTGCCTTCAATACTTACATTGACATCCATGGTCCTTTATGATACAGCCATGAATCTTCCTGCTGAAATTATGAATCCTCTATAAAAACCAGGCTTATCCTGGGATTACCCTGGACTAATGTGTATATCATAATATCATAGGAGATTATTAGTACCCATTTAGAGGAAACATGAGTTATAATTATTTACTACTTCTCTAAAGTGCTGTATATGTGACTACCTCAGAGTTTTGTACATAATCAGAATAGTTATATCATAGAATATTCAAGAAAAATTGTTCTTGGTGATATCTTCCTATTTGTTAGTGTTCCATCATGCTTTCAGGTGTCCAGCTCTAAACCATCAGCATGTTGAAACTCTACTCTCATATTCTCATTTTCATTAACCACTGAAATACTTCTGATTTATTTTGACTGAGTACATCAGTCATTATATTAATCCATATTATATTAAATGAAATAAAAGACACTTAGAATTTCACATTAAATCTGTTGTTTCTAAAGAGTTGGATTTTATTGTATAAAAGAAATCCATTATAGCCATGCATGCACTGAGAAGAAATAAAAGCACTACAGTTCTGGTTCCACAAGGCTCATGTCAGCAGGACATTACAGGGTTATGCAGTCAGCACTCATTCAGTAAAACACTCATTTTTAAAGACCTCTCGGCATCTCAGCAACTTAAAATAAGCGTCGATCTTATGAGTATCCCTTTTCAGGCAGCGGACCAGGTTATAAAGGGTAAAAAGGCGAGTGTCTTCATCAGGTGACTGCAAGTCTGCCAGTCCAGACCAGGCAGGGTAGGGATCATTTTCAACTTTCTTCTGGCTCTAAACAGCAAATGGACAGGTGTTATTCACATTATCCCCTCATGAGTTCTGTTTCTCTCTCTCTCTCTCTCTCTCTCTCTCTCTCTCTCTCTCTCTCTCTCTCTCTCTCTGTGTGTGTGTAATAAGCATGATTTGGATGTCAGTGGTCAATTTTGGGTAAAGTTCCTCCAGTAAAATCTACTTTGATTTTTGAGAAAGCTGTTCTTACTTTTATCTGGAACTTATGGCAGATCTTATTAAGTCATTATTCTAAAGGCTACAAAGTGAAGACACCTCATAACCCATTTGACACAAATTCTGGAACTGGACTCAAGTCCTTACACATGGAAGGAAGGCACTTACAGACATGAGATATCTCCCAGTGCACATTCCATGTAAATTTTTAATTAATTTTGGTAAAACACAAAAGACTATAAATTTATAATGAGAAATCCTGGAAATTGGGGTAAATGCATTAGAAACCAAAACATAATTTGAAGACAAGCATATGTATTTTCTGACATGCCACTGATCTCAGATGAAATAGATCCATACACAAGTGGACAGGAGGTGCTATTTGGATACATATATGGAATTAAGTAAAAGACCATGAAAAGGCTAGTATTAGTACCTTCCCTTTGGGGAATTTTACATGTTCTCAGTACTTTCCTTAATGTGTCCTTCATACCATATTAGTTCTGGTAGAGTGTCCTGATCCTTTTCTTCCTTTCAGGTAAATCCATTCTACATTTTATATACTCGATTGAATCCTTGAACATGAGCAGTATATTTCACTTAACGTACTGTGTGCAGGCAATCCCAGCAGCGACTGTTATATGATCAACTGCACATTAGGCTGTAGTGTCCATCCCATCCAGGAAAACTACTGTTGAAAGGACTATGAGACACAAAACTATTTTCTACAGATCACTGTCCTAAGGGCTTATTAAGTGACCGTGTAATTGAGAATCTCAAAATTCGTTTTGAATTGCATAATTCACAAATTTATAAATAGATTGACCAAAGACTCATGTTGAAACAACTTACCCTGCTAAGTATGATCTTCATTCCTTCCTGAAGCACACGGGTTCTGTTCCTCACAACATTGGCTCTTTTAAGCATTTTATCAGAAGCTCCAGGGAGGGTGGGCACTGCAGAAATCAGGAGTTTCAGCGGTTCTTCCCAGGCATGGGAAATATTGATCATTGTTTTGAGAAAGTCTTCAGTCTAGGAAAACATCATTGAATATCACCTTAAACTAAGTGACATACAGCTGTGAAGATAGACACTTGTGGATTTTTCACAAGGGAGGCAAACTACAGTGTATTTTTATTAGTAGTAATATATGTTAATGACTTCAAAATATATAAATATTACCTGAAAATAAAATTTCAGCTACTGAATTCTACTTTGCTAAATAAAACAAATTGGGTCTTAATAATTTTGACTGTTCAAAATGATCATATTTCATTTTTCATTTACATTCTACCATTTGTCCTAGTTATTTGAATTGTTCTCTTTGATTGCTTACCCTGCCTATGAGAAAATTACGTTTACAGGGCTCAGGAGGTGTCCAAAATACGATGGATATTACATAGATGCCAACAATGTCAGGAGTTAAAGCTTCAAATCATTTCTATACTACTGCATCAAATTGGTATCTCATATACTTACTTGAGAATTTTTTACTGTGGTAGAATATTAAAACAGGTGACTTCAGACAAAATACTTATCAAAATCAAATCCTTCTTTCCTTGTATCTGCATGATTCCTGCTGCCCTTGATTCTAGAGGAGTTGCATATTGACTTATACAGAAGAAAAAATATTTTAAAGCATTCCAGGCATTGGTAGAAATCAGAATGGAATTTTGATCTAGTAACTGTTAATACAAGGCTAGAGTCATACAAAATAAATTCCTTAGTTATCTATAATCTTAGTTTACTATAATGTTTGTAAGTACTCTTACAGGCTATGAAAATAAAGACTAAAGAAGAATCAACTATAATATAAATAAAAAGTTTATAAATGAAATGGAGGCACCAATGGTGATAACCAACTTATTGCTAGCAGTATTAAACAAAATGAGTAAGAATGTTTACATGATATGAAAGAAGTTTAGTATAAATTGTTACTTGATGTACAAGGGAAATGACTTCTGCATACTGTTTGGAGCCACAGTTCATTGTCTTCTCAAAAGTACTATTATCAGAGGCTATTTATCAACATTAAATATTTCATTTTCACCAGTGTGCTGTTCATGTTGTGTAGAAAAGCAATCTGTATAAATATTTTGTTCTGTGTCTTTTTTCTTTATTATAAACACACTTTATTCATAAGAATATCATGTATATGAGTTATTTGTCTTGATAACACCTGATTGACTGCAGAAATAGTCTGTGAATTGGCTATATATATATATTAAGTTTATATAAATAAAACTGATGTTTATGACAGGTAGCCAGAGTGAAGAGATCATAACACATATACATGAAATCTTTAAAGTTATATAGATGTCTTCAAAACAGAAGTCATCCAGAGGAACATGATATAGTATAGAGAAGAGTCTTTTGTACAGTTAAGATGTAGGTAGGAAAAGGCAGAAGATCAGTCAGTGAAGACTGTATAAATTAGGATGGAACAGAAATAGGTGCAGGAGAGTTTAGAAAAATAAGGAGAATGGGCATATGACTTAGTTTAGTAATGTGATCCCAGAGGAGAATCCTTTAGTGCTATATTCCATGAAAACAAAGGGATTTGCACTTACTCTATATGTATATTTATATATTAAAAATAAGTGTCCAGTTCAGATCAAAAGTTCCCTGGGAAAAGCAGAAGGTGTTGGTAAAAATAGTTTTTTTTATAAGACAACTAAAATTCTGGGACAATATGATTTGGCAGGCATTTTAGTTAGTGCTAATGTTATTATCTATATGATGTGATTGTTCCCTGACAGTCACATCTTTTATCTATTGGATCAGAAATTACCACACCTCTTGTTGGCTTAGTAATTACACAGAGCACAGTTCCCTTTGTATAGGATAATCTGTTTCTTAAAAAACAGGGAGGAAACCTACTTTTGTTTCATGGGCTTCCTCTCGAGATTGTGGAGTATGGATGGAAGCAGTGTGGCATGGGCTGAGCGTCCTGTACTTGATCCAACTGCTATTGAAATATTTCATGTCCTGGAAGAAATTAAATGATTTAGTTTACTGAGGCTTTAGAATTGAGTAGAAACAAAATGCTATGTTTGCTAACCCTACATTTTTGATATTTAAGAACAAAAATTGAAACAGCACAATGATGGAAACCCCATCTGCCTACCTTTGATCCCCCTTTCATATGCAATCTACTTGACCATACTCTCAATCTCTTGCCCTTTTTACTGCTCCCTGGTATTGTACTTGCTAATGTTATTATTTGGAAAGAAAGCACTAAGATGCACCCAAACTTCTAATTATTTACATCTTTAAGTATCAGTTTTTCTAGGCTGACTGTCATAGAATTTTTACAATATATCCATATTTAAAATAATTATTTTTCATTGGCACAAACTGATTTTTTAAATAAGAACTGATCATTCTTAACTTGGATCTCAAATATCACCATGTTTAAATAAAATAAAAAGTTCACGATAAATGTAGGAGTCACAAATGTTGTTACAATCAGCAATTAACCATTCAATTCTAGATACATTTTAAAGAAATATTCAGCAATGATTGAAGTAAGATTTCACATAAATATTTAAAGTTTCTATACTAATGATATGAAGGATATCCTTGCTTAAGACATTTCATAAGAAAATACAAATTCTAACTATCAAAGAATTTAAAAGAGTTAAAGCATTCTTAGAAATGTTGTGCAGTTAATAGATGAGGAGAGAAGAATAAGAGGTATGACAAAACTAGTATGAGAAAATAACAACAAGAATGTATATTCCCTATAAATATAGAGATATGAAATCTATATGCTCAATTTTCAATGGACATTTGTTTTGTTTCCTCACTGACAGGCCCTGATAGATGAGTTATATCCCTGAAGAAGAGGGAATTTATTGTGTGTCTACAGTAGCCCTTCAATTCCACTAAGATACCCATTGCTGAAAATGATAAGCTGGGATTGTTTGGATTTACAAACTTATCTGTAGCTATTTTCTTTTATTAAGTTTTTCACTGTTTACATGATTTCAATTTCCTTAGGTTTATTTCTCTCCACTCACCCAACTAACTTCAGTTCCCCTGCACTAGTTATCTTCAGATCAGTAAGTCAGGAATGCCAATGAAGACAGAACCCAGGGTGTATGACCACAAAACCAAAAATTCCAGTGAAGAAATTCAAAGTTGTTATTGTTAAAGCTAGTAAAGGAAAATTTGAAATATCATTGAATTCTTTACAGTTTTTGAGATTTTATGAAACTTTATATTTTGCCCTTTATACATTTTGCTCTATGATACTTTCTATTACCTATAAATTGAATTATTTGAATTTGGATACATGACTCATTCCAATTTAATTAGTGATTAGCTATGTGAAGGAACTTTTAGAAAAGAATATAGAGGCAAGAATATTACTTACAAATTCATGGTATAAATCTGCAGCCAGAAAATATGTGGCATGAGACTGATCAACCCCTCGATAATACAGGTCTTCAATGGACACAAAGCCACTTGGTTTGGAGGCCACATGCTCCCAAAGGAGCAGATTTGACACCATCAGCAACATACATACCCCTGCTGTCAGAGAAATGGCAATGAGGTGATCTATACAAATCAGGTTACAACAGTTAAACAAGCTGGGAATGTGTTCTGAGGGCCCTCTGCTATGTGATTTGGGTTGATATACCTTACTAGAGCATTCACATTTACAACTGGTAAAATACAGAGATAGCAACATTTTTCCAGTAAAAGTTTGACATGTGGGAGACTTTTCACAGTTTGCATTTGCTCCAAATGAGCTTTTCAAATTTGCAAACACATGGAGTTTGATTTAACATGAACCACAGCCTTCAAGTTATTATCTGCACACATCTGAAATTCTAAAGAATTTATGTTGTCTTTCATTTTTATTAAATACATTATTATTGCAACTAATTCATTTTCCTTGTATATATCATCTAAGAATGAGGTGATTTGATAGTTTATTCAGGTTGATACATGTGAGCAGATATCCAAGCTGAGCACACAAATTAATTATAACTTCCTATTTCTGTGCTTAAAGCAGTTTACCACTTATTTATTCTCATTTTCTCAATGTATACTAATTTATTATAATATAAATTGAACACTTTAAGGTGTATTATTATTGTTGTTGTTGTTGTTTTCGAGACATGGTTTCTTTGCGTAGTTTTGGTGCCTATCCTGGACCTTCCTCTGTAGACCAGTCTGGCCCTGAACTCATAGAGATCTGCCTGGCTCTGCCTTCTCAGTGCTGGGGTTAAAGGTGTGCACTGCCACCATGCAGCTGAGTTGAATTATTTTTAGTATAGACTGTGACTTTTGAAATGGAAGAGATTATAAAACTGATGACTCTTAAGTATCAGTAATGGTGTCCCATTTTATACTCCTGTTCATAAAGACAACACAATATAACTCTGAGAATTGCCTGTGTCTGCAATACAAGGAAGTTTGTATTTAAAAAATCTGAGCTCAAACTTAATCAAGAAAGTAGAATATAGAGAGATCTTTCAGCTGTGTGCTTACTTGTCTCTAGATTAAGCATAAGCAAATATTAGTACCCTCCAAAATACATAGCAGATCAGACCAAAGAAAATCTACTCTACAAACAAACTTGATGTAATATACACTAAGGGTTACATAGACTCTAAGAGGTACCCAGTGAATGGCTACTTACCAGAGCTTGGTAAAGTCAAAGCAAGCGGCATCTTGATCCACCACAGTATGAACTTCAACTCGGGAAAGCTGCTTCACCTGAGTGCTGCCTTCAGTCAACTTTCCACCTCCCATATATACCACCAAATTGTACCCAAAGCCAGACAGAGCTGGGGGCCAGATTGAATCAGTGTCTATAAATCTGCGACATTCTTCCCTCAGGGTTTATTAACATCCTCTTTACATTTACCACAGTTATATGTCAATATTTGTCACACTGCATTTTCCCCAGATGGTCTATAGAATGCAAGTCATTCTCTAAATCAGAAAAGCCACCTCTGTTCATTGGTTACTTATTTTCACGTAAGCAGGGGAAAAGACTTTCCCAAACTTTTTCCCTAGTTAAATGTCTTATATGTCTGTCATGTCTTCTGCAATGTTTCCTAGTGTTTCTGGTAATGATAAATGGTTTCCACAACCTACCCTATCTCCACATAAATCAACCATTAACACTGTAAAATATTTATCTCAATAAATAACAGTTCCAGTAATCAACAGGTCTAAACACAAATGTTTAGAAGGCAGTTTGACAAGAAATTCATACCCATTGATGAAAAGTTTACTTATAAATGCAGATCATGACATTTTTAGGCACCTTATTTTTGCTGTCTTAAAATATAACATATTGATTGTTTTATGTGTCTTGAGACTTAGAACATACCCGATAATCGTTGGTTGCACTGGCAACTGCTGTACCATAGTTTTCCTACTTACTACACGCTACCAATGTTGCTGATGGCTGTATCATGTCACTGAATTATAGAAATTTTAGGCAATTATCCTGAAGTTGCTACATAGTGACCAGGATCACCATGAAAGTTATTCCAAGTTGTAAAAGATTCTATATCATAGAAGCTCAAAAATTTTATTTTACTTGAGCAAAATATTCAAATTCTTTAGGATTTGGACTAATCGTTTATTTCTGCTGTGCAAAGAACAACAGAGGCAGCAACATGGATAAAGTTTTGGTATCCTGTACCTCACAGGAAAAAGATCTAGAGAAGAAACCAACTTTGACCCTGGGATTTCAGTTAACACACACACACACACACACACACACACACGCACACACACGTATGTATGTATGTGTATATATATATATATGTATGTATATGTATATATATATGGCATTTCTTTTCTAGGCCTGAGGAGTCCCTTGCATAATTTTATTTTCACTACTGTGTTTATTGTTTTTCAAGATGTTTTACAAATCCAGTAAATTTTCTATCTTAACATTTCCCTTTACTTACAATAACATGTTTGCCTATAAATCACCCTGAAGTAAACCTCTATATTATATAAACATAAATCAATATAACCCATTCCCTTTCATATTCTTAATACAAGAGGGATATTTTCACAGTATACTTGGATGCCTTAGTATCTGCTTGACTTAAAGCCACTGTTGTGACATTTAGATTCGAAAGACAGATTTTTCCCCCAGCCCATCTTGATTGTTTAAATACTTGGATCATCCATAATCTTTCTATGGTAATCACCATTCTCTGGTTTAGTTCTAATTTCTCATTATAATCTAGCCAAAGTGACTGTGCCCTACTCTTTGGCTATCAAACTATCACTTTTTTTCACTGACACATTAAAATGTATTCATTAGATATGTAGCAGTTTTGCTCAGTAGCAATCCCCCAAAAGATGAGAAGTTCCTATCCTCTGTCTACCCAGAGTATAACTCTGCAGATCAATGGTATTCAAATTTCTTATATATTGCAATTGGTTTTGTGCATCAGAGCAGGGACAATGTAGGGGTCACATAACCTTCAAGGTAGTCACAATTTCTCAGCATCACAGTCAGACTTAGATATGTTCTCAACTGTGTCCTAAATAGTTTCAGAAGTTGTAGGATCTCCCCGGGCATGGGTGGATGGAGAAATTTACATTTTGCACTCTCTCCCAGTTTAGGCAGATGTAAAGAAGAAAATCAAGCTCATTTTCCTTTACTAATTCTTCTTGACTTAATTTCTGATGAAATTAGAGAAACTGATATTTTTAGTCTAAGGATCCCCTGCACATAGACAGCTTTGCTCTAAGTTCACCATCAGGACAGTTAATGACCAACTATCACTGTGGTCATTATCAGGGAATTCTTTAGGGTTAGTAGTTTTTTTTTCCTGGTGTTCTGATGTAAGACTAAGGCTGTACTGTTACATCCATGCACTTTTGTTGAATAGGTATACACACACACACACACACACACACACACACACACACACACACAACCTTTGATTTTGTGGTGCTCTAAGGTGTTTATATATCTTTATGCATGTGTGTTTGTGAGCATATGTTTGCACTTAAACTGACTTGATTATAGCCATGGCATCACTCTCAGAAATACTGTTAACTTCACTTTAAAAAGTTACTTTGCTAAGCTGAACATCACTAATTAGGAATAAAAGAATGGACAGATATCCAGAGATCTTTGAGTGTCTTTCTTCCCATTGCTAGAATTCAAGTTCAAGTCACTATACCAGGTGCCATTATTTCTGAATTTCAAATTCAGGTCCTTGTGTTTATAATGTAAACTCTTCACAGACAGTGCCTTCCACAATAGCATGATGATTTACATGAATAGAATGCTGTGGTAGCTGAATATCATGATTTGAAGAGTTATAGAAAATTCAGTCTTGAACTTAATATGTACATTTTTCTTTAGACAATTTGTAAAAAATGTATATTTAATAATTTGTTTGAATATTTTGCTTAATTGGTTTTTCTATGTGACTGTAAATTTCCAGTCTTCATGCAACAGAAAAAGATTCTCAGGATTCTACTTAGTCTTTTGTGGTATTCTTGTGTTTAATTTTTTTAAATCTTTATTTCCTCATTTGTTTTGTCAAATTTATGTAGAGTCATCTCACAGAGTATACTTTATATGGAGTTCTACAAAGTCAAACACCTCTTGTTTATCCATTTCCACTAAAATTATATCCTTCCATCTTATTCAGCTGCTTATTAAGAAAAAGAATCATAAAAAGGATATGAACAAAATGTCTTAAGAGGGTATGAAAAAATCCCTTCTTCTGGGAACCTCATGTAGCTGAGGTATGAAACAGTTCCACAACTTCAGGAAGACTCTGAAATTCATCACATTTAGTATGATTCTCCATGCCAGAATGTATGCACTAGGAAGACTACAGGGAGACACTTCCAGACAAGTTGAGCTGACCAAAACACTCCCAGGCCTGCTGTGCTCCATGGAGGAGACAGAGAAGCAGCTGGATGAACTAGGAGAGAGGCAGACCTATCAGACTGACTGAAAATCAGCCTCACAACCTTTGAGCTGCTGGCATAGTATGTGTTGTGCTGTAGTTTTCTAGTTCCCCTGAGGTTTCATCCATCCTGGACTGAGCTTGGGGAGATCTAACTCTCCTTCTGTGATGTCTTCTCCTGTCTGTAACCTTTCACTACTACTAGAGCATTTAAGCACAAGAAGATCACTGGTTTGCCAAATATGGAATTTGATGATACTTTTACTTTGGTCTACCATTGTCACTCTCTCTGGTGTGAGTGAATGTGCTTTCACTAATCCCTGAGAGAATTAGTATCGTGCAATAGTATCTCATATATCTGTGACCTGAAGACTGCTACTGCCATTGTCTAAGAGAGGATAATAGATTTGAAATATTAAATGTGTAAGGCCTCCCATGGGAATCAACAAAGCATGGCATATCAAATTGAGGCAAGACCAAACTTCTTCCCCCTGCATCCAGGCTGTGTCAGGCTCCCACCACAGGAAATAGGTTCCAAAGAGCCAACTCATGCACCAGGGACAGATCTTGGTCACATTGTTAAGTGCCCCACAAACAGACTAAGTTACACAACTGTCACCCACAAGCATAGGCCAGGTTCAGTTCTGTGCAGGCTCCCGAGCTGTCAGTCTACAGTCCCTGAGCTCAGTTCATCTGTCTCTGTGGGTTTCTCCTTCATGATCTTGACTCCCCTTGCTTATAAAATCTCTCCTCCCTCTTCGACTGAATTCCCAAAACTCAGGCCATTTTGCTTGGAAGTGGATCTCTGCAATTAATTTCACCAGTTGCTGGATGAAGGCTCTGTGAATACAATTAGGGTAGTCACCTGTCTGATTACAGCAGAAAGCCAGTTCAGGCACCCTCTCCACTGTTGATAGGAGTCTTAGTTGGAATCATCCTTTTGGATTCCCAGAAGTTATTTTGGCACCGGGTTTCTTCCTCACCCCACAATGGCACCCTCTGTTTAGATATCTCCCTCTCCATCCCTCTCCCAACTCAGTCATCCTAATCCCTCATGTTCCCATCTCCATCCCCACTCCTCTAACTCCCTCCACCTCCAGTTTACCCATGAGATCTCATCTATTTCCCCTCCACATGGAAATCTATGTGTCTCTCTTAGGGAACCCCTTGTTACCTAGATTCTCTTAGCCCTGTAGACTGTCCTTTGCTTTACATCTACTATCCACCTAGGAGTGAGTATATACCATATTTGTCTTTCTGGGTCTGGGTTACCCCACTCAGGAAGATTATTTCTTGTTCCATCCATGTGCCGGCAAACTTCATGTCATTGTTTTCTTACCACTGAAAAATACTTCATTGTTTAAATGTATCACATTTTCTTTATTCATTCTTTGGTTCAGGGGCATCTAGGTCATTCCCTTAAAGTTTTTTTTTTGCATTTAATTGTATATGTATACACATATGACTGTTTTGATACATGTATGTAATTGCACACTTATGGCTTTCCTATAGAGGTCAAAGGATTGCATGCCAGAGTTGGTTCTCTCTTCCAATAGTGAGGGTCTCAAGGATTGTAGTCAATTTATTAGGCTTAGAAACAAATGCCTTTATGTTTTGAAGTATATGACTATCACCACAAAATTATTGTCAAACAGTTGAGTTAACTGAATTTTCAATGCAATTCCCACAATGCTCATATTGAAGATGTCACTCCTAAGTAGGCACATATGCCTAGCAGGTAAACTATATTCCTGCTTTTATACAGG